TTGTGTTGTGTCCCAAACCTCTAATGGTCCTCAAAAAATTTCATCCAATTCTCACAGGCTTCCAACGGAGCATACGGCAAGCTGATCCTGCAAGAGTCGTCCATCGACGCCTCATGCATGGTGTTGGCGTACGCCCCAATTGACGACCAATCCGTGGAGGAAGTCATGAACGGTACCAATATCTCCTTCTCCCTCCTGCCGTCTGGGGTGGTCGTACTCCCTGATGGCAACGCCGAGCCAGGAGCGCCTCCAACTTCTGCCATGTGCTCCTCCAGCTCCTCCAGCAGTCACAGGAGCAACTCTGGATCGCTCGTCTCCACCATGTACCAGACGCTGCTGAGCGGCCAGCCACCGGAGCATCTCTTCAAAGCTGTTGCCGAGAATGTGGGGAACCTGCTCTGTCAAGCCATCGACAAGATCAAATCTGGCGTCCATGCTAACGTCGTTTTATCTGCTTGATGCGTCGTCTACAATTTGGGATTATCGAAATAATTATACTTCTTGCCGTTACTGCAGACTATATGCAATGTGCACTGTTTATTTCCTTGTTACCATCGTACTTTGTCCCGCGCAGTTACCGCGGAAAAGACTTTTATCATCTTTAATAATTTATTAAACAGACTTGGTTATGCATTACTATTGTCTTGTTATTTATAAGAATGCCAACTTACTGCTAAATATGTCATCCATATGTGTTGTTAGATTATTACTCAATACTTAGGCATCTTTTGGTTCATAGGATAGGATAATCATATCAATAAGAAATTTGTAGGAAATGAGATGACATGTATCTCAAATCCTATGAGTAGGAATAGGAAAAGAGATGCTATTTGGTTCCCACCAAAGCAATATTTTCATTGACTCTAGGATCATTTTTATTTTTCTATGATATGTGAAGGATAGGAACAAATCCTATGTAGGAATAAAAATCCATTCCTATGAACAGAAGGGCTCTAAAGAAAAAATTCCTATAAGAATCTTATCTTATAGAATTTCTATTAAATTCCTCCAAACCAAGGAGGCCTTAGTGTG